CCTAATTTGTTTTCTTTCTGAAAACAACTTACTTCATCAATCAATCTTCGTCGAATCTTTTAACATTATATTCTTCTTCTTTGTTTTTAGTCTAAAAATAGCAATATCATGTCATCAAAGAAAATCTATCTGTGTGACCATGATAAAATGGATGATATTGACGAATTGTCGATTGTAATAATGGAAGTCCATAACAAAAGATAGCACAAGACTTTTAAGTCAAAATGTGTTGATTGCCATATGGCATTCTCTTCCAATACGACACTAAGGTTGCATACGTGCAATCAACAATGTGAGGTAATTAAACAAACTTGTCTTCTTCATTACCTTTCTCATTCACAATATTTTTTTTCTTCAATATTTTTTTTTATTTCTTCGTCAGATAAAAGAGCCCAACTTCAACAAGTTGTTATCATATGGTCAGAATATTCAAAGAAACATAAAGATGAATAGTTCAAAGGAGGATCATCAAGTTGAAATCAAGAAATGAATCATTCTACAATACCAACAACCAGAAACATGTTTGCCACAAAAATAATTCACTGTAAAGGTAAAGGAAACTGAAATAAAATCCTATTTTTTTTATAAAAAAAAATTCAAAGTTATTTATTCTTTTTATGAAAACACTTTATTTTTTCTATGGTCTTAAACTATATATATATATATATATTATTTTATTTTTTGTTTTAATCTTGTGTTCTTAAACATGTCAGGTGGAGGGTAAATTTAAAAATTGACAAAAATGAAAGAAACATTCTTTAATGTTTCAAAACGAACTAAAAGAAAGACAAAATATAATAATTATTTTTTTTGTTAAAAATACTTATAATAATTCTATTATTACTAAAAAAAAATGAGGTCCCTCAAATTTGGAGGCCTAAGATGAATGCTTCATTTTTAAAGGCATCAAGCCCTTCAAATATAATGCCTTCACTTTTTTTTATTAGTAGGGATTTTATGGTTTTGGTTATGTTAAAAATGAATATATGTTTATGCTTGTTTGAGATCGAATATAATGAATATATGTTTATGCTCGTTTCCTCATGAAATCTTCAAATTTTTTAAAATGAAATTTATATATTTGTAAAAATACTATAAGTCACAATAATTGATAATTTAAAATATTTAAAATATATATTAAAAAATTTATCATCAAAGATAAACTTGTTTGAATCTCGAAATAAAAAATGTGTCATATAAATTGGAACATAAGGTATATTTTTTTTTAGGTATAAATAGTAGATGTTTGACTTGTTTATATATTTTCTTCTTCATATTTTGAAGTCCTCAAGTGAAAATTAGTCTAGTTTTTAGTAACTCTTAGGGTTTGTTGTGTGTTATGAGCAATTTGTTGATCATCATGAACCAGGATCGGATTTGTTGTGTGTTATGAGCATCAGTACGTGCATTTTGCACATTTTTTATTATTGAGCTATGCTCTCAATTGTTATGAACTTGATCATATAGTTTAATTATTAGACTGTGCTTTGCCAAATATAGCAAATAATTTTTATATTTTTAAGTCATAAAAATACATGGAAAAGTTATCTCCCACATCTGTTTAAGGAATACTATTACAGTTTTTACATCTGCTTTTTTTAATTACTACTTATAAAAAAATTTCTTACAAGTATTAGCAAATCAATTTTAATTTATAACATCTTTCAAAGGATTTTTTTCACTTATCACACGCTATCCCCACCCCCATTTCCACATACTAACGGTTACTCTTTCTCTTTTAACTTCTTCATTGTTCTTCTTCTCTATTCAAACGAAAACCTCTGCAAATCTGGTATACATTACGAAGAATAAAAAAGTTTGGTTCACAAACAAACATGTCGAAGAATCAAAAAGTTCATTATACACCTAGAAAGAGCCCGAAATTTGTAGAGGATGAATCTAATGTTGAGTTAGATCCTCCAAATTTTAATATTTTAATTCAAATTCCGTCGCCCAAGATGAATACAACTCCGACGAAGAAGAGTGGCACATCATTATTATGCATAATTTTATACCATGTAAAAATTAAACACTAGTTCATACCAAATTTGTTTTCTTATAATTTTGTTTGAGTCCGTATCTAATAGATCTGATGGATCATTTCAACTGCATATTAACACAATTTTATGGGGGTAGTTGTTGTTGCTGCTTCTTATTCTTCGAAGCTCGAGTTTAAAATTCAACTTGCCGCAGTAGCGAATCGTTTCTAATGAATTACATATATTAAAAGAGCCAAAATATTGAGAGAAATTTATACCTAACTTTTAGAAATGATTTTTGAGTTAGTCAAGATTCAAAGATTTCATTAGCCATTAAAGTTTGTTGATTAGTAGTAATCTTTTGATCCAATTGCATAAATAGAATCAACTTAAGCTTTGTTGTCCTACTTGATGAAGGTTCAAACTCCTCGGGTGCTTATATCAAATTTTAAAAATAATAATTTCACATCTCAAAAATTCATTTATTTCAAATCTAAATCCGTCTAGAAGTACATCATGATTAACAGTCCTACATTTTAAACACAAATTCGGTAGAGTATTTAGTATTCAGGACGTGATCTGGATGGTCAATGAAGTGTTTGAAAATTAGAAAGCTGTCTCATGTTTAAATCTTTAACAAAGATAAAAAAAAAAATACTATGTGACTCTTCTCATCTGTTCTAGCCTTGATAGACAGAGTCGTTGGTGGGAGGTGACAAGTATCCCATGAATTGATTGACATGTACGAACATTACAATCATAATAAATAAATAAAAATATGAAAAGTGATTAATTTTGAAATGTAAGTAATGACGCGCTCTAAAACAGTTATTATTATTAGTTATATATAGAGGTGAGTTGACTACTTTCCATCATCCTAATCCTTTTTTTTCCTGAAAACAACTTACTTCATCAATCAGTCTTCATCTGATCTTTTAATCATCCTATTATTCTGCTTTATTTTTCGTCTGGAAATAGCAGTATCATGTCGTCAAAGAAAATCTATTTGTGTGACCATTGTAAAATGGATGATACTGACGAATTGTCGATTGTAATGATGCAAGTCCATAACAAAAGATAACACAAAGACTAAGTCAAAATGTGTTGATTGCCATATGCATGCATTCTCTTCCAATATGACACTATGTTGCATACGTGCAATCAACAATGTGAGGTAATTAAACAAACTTGTCTTGTTCATGACCTTTCTCATTCACATTCTTTTTTTTTCTTCAATATTTTTTTCTATTAATTCATCAGACGAAAGAGCCCTACTTCAAGAAGTTATTATCATATAGTCAAAATATTCAAAGAAACGTAAAAATGAACAGTTCAAATGAGGATCATCAAGTTGAAATCAAGAGAATCATTCTACAATACCAATAACCAGAAAGATGATTTGATACGATTTAAAGCAAGAAGTCAGTATTGTAATAACACTACATATGGTCATTTCAATGGATCGAACATTTGCTTTTTGGGTGTGTTACGATATGTTTTCTTTTGATCATAGCTTTATTAAATGGGAGTTCTTGATGAATTATATTCTTTTGTTTTCTTGATCAATTTTCTTTATGTTCATTTTTTACTGGATAATTCATAGCATGAGAATTCATGACATGCATTATATAATTTGATTCATTTTATTTGGCGCCTTAAATTCGGTATTAGCGTGAATGTTGTACTCTTAATTTTCCTTGTGGATATGAACGAACATGTTTACCACAAAAATAATTTAGAAGAAAGTGGAATAAAATCCTAATTTTTAAAATCCAAAGTTATTTCTTCTTTTTAATGAAAACACTTTATTTTTTTAATGGTCTTAAACTATATATATATACCAAAATATTTTTTAATCTTGTGGTCTTAAACATGTCAGGTGGAAGTTAAATTTAAAAATTGACAAAAAAGAAAGAAACATTCTTTAATGTTTCAAAACGAACTAAAAGAAAGACAAAATATAATTTATTTCTTATTTAAAAATACTTAAATAATTCTATTATTACTAAAAATAAATAAATGGGGTCACTCAAATTTGGGGACCTAAGACGGATGCCTCATTTTTAAAGGCATCAAGCCCTTTAAAAATAATGCCTCCACTCTTTTTTACTAGTAGGGATTTTATGGTTTTGGTTATGTTAAAAATGAATATACGTTTATGCTTGTTTGAGATCGAATATAATGGAGAATTCTATTCATGTACTATGGTTGAATTTAAATTTGAATTATTTACTAAGTTAAGGTAATTAATAGCGCTCTGATTACATCTTGATAAAAATGAAGAGGATCCTCTCATCTTTTGTTTCTCTGTCTTGGGCCATAGTGATGAAAACCCTTGAGGGATACTATGGAGCAATGGTTCATTAATTTCTGACCAATCACCCATTTCTAATTAATTCTAACTTACAAATATGATCGACCTCCTTAACCTTATATAGTATAGAAGATATTAACAATCACACTTATAGGAGGATTTGGATTCCTATATTAACAATCACAGGATTTGGATTTCTTACGACAACTCTGTTTGTAATGTAGTTTGACATAAAAAAATTGTCATCAAAATATAACAATCCCACTTGTTTGAGACTTTATGCAATCAGCGTAAATTTTTTTTTATACAATCCGACAATCTTGTGTCTAAAATTCAAAAACCATCTCAAGTACATTTGGCAGCAATAAGATATTCAGATTGATACACTATGGTCACTTGTTCCAACAGAAAATATTATGATCCAATGAACCTTTTAAGCTTGGTTGAAGAAAAACTATACAGCTGCCTGAGCGCATCTTCACCAACAATGATAAGAAATGATCCTGCTGAAATTCAAATATCAAGCATTTGTGATTGAAAATGATGATGATTTATATACAAAGTAAATCAATGACTCACATTTACATGAAGCACTGATTTGATGTTTCAGTGGAAAATTCTACTATAGCAGCAACTCTATAAGGAACTTTTCAACTAAAGCTTCAGTTAGAGTTCACAGAATGAAAACGTCGGAAGACAATGTCAAGATCAATGATATACATAAAACATGATGCCGAATCCAACAGTATATAGCTGATAAAGTTGACGTATCTCACCTGCATTCTTGGTGGTGAGATCCAAGGTTAGGAGTATAATGTCATGTACAGCTAGGGGGGTTTAAGCATTTATAAACTGTGGATGCAGGTTGCTTATAGGTAGGTATGCTGCTAGCGTCAACAAATCTAACTTCACCTGGCCCAAAAGAAAGATCCCTGTGCCTGCAAAATAGATAAGACCGACAGGCAACATGGTCAACAAATAATTGTAAACCATTTACATGTTGGCGTGACCTCAAAAGTATAGCTGTCAAGGTCACTTGCCTTCGAAGATCAAGCCCTGTTAAACCAGCTTGCAGAATTGTCAAGTTATCAGAATCTGGTGAGACTATGATGACTGTGTCCTCAGAGTATTGAGTTTCAAGAATCGACATAACTTGTGTTACACGAACAAAGACATCCAAAACACTCTCATTAGGTGTTCCATCATCAGTAGGAGGTGGCTTTATGTTCGGAGAAAGGCTATCTGATTCATACACCTGCAGCATTATATCAGGAACTTAAAGTGTTTCAATGATTTTCGAATAATTTAGCACACAAGAGTATAGTTCTCCGAGGCAAAGAGAAATGACTCATTGGAAATACTAGACGATAGGTCCCAAATATTTGAAAAACTCCACATATGATTAATTATCATTAGGATTGGAAGTTTATTTCAGCTGCAGATAATTAATCCTTTCCCACCACATAGGACTCAGAATACATTATTTATCTTGTTAATTTAACACACAAATTCGACAGTAATGTGACTGAGTACAAAGCAGCATCTTACTTCGGATAAAGTATCCAAACTTTTTCCTTCATATGCCCCCAATCCACGAGCATCGAGAAAGCTATATTCAGGGACTATATGGCTGCAATCAGACTAGCCAAGTAGTTACCATATGCAAAAAGCACTGAATATCAAGAAAACAAACCAAAGTTAGTGTCCCAATTATAATACCTTCGATTAACACCATTAACAGCAGCGATAATCTCAGCAGCCTGATAAGCTCTCTGAGTGATTGAAGGCCAAATCCAACAATTCCCATCACAAGCCCTCATTTCCTTCAAATCAAACGCCGCCCTAACTGTCTGTTTCTTCCCTTTCTCAGACAGCCCATTATCCACCGATGTTTTGGCTACCGGATTAGTATTAATCAGCCCCAGACTCTCATATTCCGATTCCCCTGCTCTCACCAAAAAGTACCTGCCAATCACCTCAACAAATTCTCATCACAAAAATCACAACTTTCAAGCAGATTAAGAAGATAAAAAGGAAATCATTCAAGAATTACCTGTTAGTGAGGCGAAAAGGGGGCATTTGAAAAAGCCCACGAGCATGGGACACTGGTAATGGAAAGGGGCTAAATGGGTCACTAGCCAAAAATGGAGTTATTAGGATGGAAATTGAGGTGATAAGGTGACGGCGGGTGGTGGGTTTGAAGTGGAATTGGGAATTACAGGGGATTAATGGTGGCTCAGAGGAATTCCATGGCGGAAGAATAGTGTTTGAGGCAAAAAAAGTTTTAGACATTGTTAGTTTATTTGCTGGAAATTTAACTGATTTCTGATTTCATAACACGAGTTGGGAAGGAACAAATGTGTATGTAAATGAGAAAGATCAAATTTCTATGATGCTAACACCCACACAACAAAAATATCTCTACTATACTCTTCAAATTCCTCCATCTGTTATCTTCTTTTGGCCCCACTTTCTCATATTAGTAATTTAATGCTTCCTTCCTCTCATTTTATATAAGTTAATTTGACTTGATACAAAGTTTAATAATTATAATTAAAATAAATGATAAATAATTGTATTGCAATAAATTACTTTATTAAGGATAAAATATGTATTTTTTAAAGTTAAATTGTTACTTAATAAAAAATGTGTTTTTCTTTTTGAGACGGACTAAAAAGGAAAGTAAGTCATATAATCGAGACATATGGAGTATATAGTACTTCCTCCGTTCCTTTTTATATGCCATCCCTTTCTATAAATAGTTGGACCACAATACTTGTCATTTTATAAAATTTTTATGCATAAATTACCATATTTTGCCTATTATACCCTTGATAGAATAGTTAATTAATCTTGTCATTGATTAATAAAGTTGACTTAAAAAAACATTAAATAAGTGTAGAAGAGTAAAGTTACATCATTTCTTAATGCAAGTGCAAAGTAAAAACAATGTGACATATAAAAAAGAACGGAGGAAATATTTACCAAAATGTCCCGAGAAAGATGATTTTTCGATATAAACAGAATGGATCTCCGTGATAAAAGAGGTAAGAAAAGAGTTTGCGATGCCGAAAATGATTTAGGCCATTATTTAGATTTTGTTCATATTCTTAAAAGTTGCGCAAATATAGACTTAAAAAGACTAACAAAATTTTATATTATCGTCCAAATGTCTACTAAATTTTAGACTGCTGTCTAACTTTTTTTTCATAAATTTTTCGATTTGCACTAAAAGGTCCATAATTTTTAATTTTTAAAAAATAGTATCTGGGCTTTTAGCTAACTAAGCTAATAGATCTCTATCAATAATGGGCCAAAATATTTATTAAAAAGACCTTCAGACGTCCATTATTTTAGGCCCAAAAGAATCTTCCATATTTTACTCTTTTCTTTCAAGTGTAGTCAAACATGTCATGACTAATCCTAGTCAAAAAGAAAAAAAAAACAGCAGAAAGAAATACTTTAACCAGATAAAAAAAAACAAATACAAGCAGTAAGATATTCTGTATGCTTGTGTGTATTTAAATTTTGTGATTTGTCCCCACCCACGATTAATATGAGCTTGAAATTTTCTTTGTAACTCCCCAAACTTATTCATAGTATATACAATTGTATATATTTTATGTGTAATAATGTAAATGAAAAGAAAAAGTTGTCATTAACTGACAAGCTTTGCGGATAATCAAGACGATTAACCAATTATTAAGAAGTCGTCGCTCGTGGATCCATGAATTAAGAAATACCATTCAGCCATCAGCTTTACCATATAAGTTATTTTCAGGGGTGGATCTATGACTTTTGGTGGATTTTCAAAATCAGTAATTTTTTCTCAGATTTAATATTTGTATTGAGAAATTTATTAAGTAAATGTTTTCCTTATTCATTTTATTTGTTTATTATAGACTTTGCAAGCATTTTAAGAAATAATGATCAATATGAGTATTGTATCACAATAATCATATTGATTGAGAAATAAGTTATTACTATTGAGAGTAAGGAAAAAAAAGAAATAAATATCTCTTTTTTTATAAGTTAAAAGTGAAAAAGCAAATGTAAAATTCTATTTTTAAAAATTTAACAAGTAAAAGTGAATGAAGAAAATATATAAGAAATACTATGTGTTTTTTTCGATCCAGTTGAAGATATATAACTCATTTAAGTTTTGTTCCCTTGCTAGATGAAGGTTTCAAATCTCCTTGAATGCTTATAACATTTTTATTTACAAAAATTTAAATCTCCAATAATTCATGAAATTTTAAATTTTAAATCCGTTTAGAGTGTACACTATATTCAATACTCCTATATTTAAACACAAACTCGGTAGAATATTTAGGATAAAAAACAAAATTAAATAATTTTTCTTTTACTTTGACTTGACGACAAAATAATTAGTCGATGATTGCTCTTAAAGAACGATCCCTGAATAAAGAATTCATATTTACTGGCACTGTTCTTATAGGGAAATTAAACCCAAAAAATAAAATAAAAAGAAGATAGTGCTCCACCATAGTGGATAGTTAGATGAAATAGGGTAGTAGTAGTAGTAGCTGCATCAAACGACGATACAACAAAGATTCCCAGTTTCATTGTGGTGTCACTGACACCCATTATATGACAACAAAATAAAAGATTCCACTATTGGTCAAAAACGAAGCACGTCTGAGATTGTTCCTTGTACTCTGGTTAAGTCATATTGATATTATATTAAATTATATTATCCGTATCTTTTTCTTCTTATATACAAGTGAGTAGTTTTATTTTTGAGCAACTTTCACATATAATAAATACAAAAATTATATTTGTATATTATAGCTATAGTTTGCATAATTGCGCTCCATAGCAAACATAAATATGTATATTTCGCTATACATATACAAAAGAAATTAAAGCAGTTGCATATAATCTGTTTCTGTTTCGGTATACATATGCAAAAGATCAATTGTATAATTTGTGTTTGTATAAAGCGAGAAAGAGAGAAAGACAATAGAGAACTGGGCATGGGAATATTTGTATTGTATAATTATAAGTGTATAGGACGAAGATATATGTATTTGCATGTGTATATACAATTTTCTCTCGCTTTATACAAACAGAAACGCAATTTATACATTTCTGTTTGTATAAGCGAGAGAGGCGAGGGAGAGAGTGGCGAGCAAGATTTGGGAGAGGGGAGAGAGGGGAACGAAAATATATGTATATATACAATTTTCTCTCGCTTTATACAAACACAAACACATTTTATACATTTGCGTTTGTTTAAAAAGCGAGAGAGGCGAGGGAGAGAACGAGAGTGGCGAGCGAGATTCACCGGGAGAGAGGCGAAATAGCAGTTTGCTATGAGGTACAATTAAATCAAACTATGTTTATAGCATTTAATTTGAATTAATAGTTTGCCATTATATATATACAATTTTCCCTTTATTTTTTAGATCATTAATTCTATCTTTTATGTAGTTAAGACTGTTGTAAACTTTGGACATGTTCAAGTTTTGTGCAGGTTACATATGGTTTATGAACATACATTCTCACCTAATTAAATAAAATAAAATAGCTATAGTAAATTTATATAATTTGATATAAACATGGTAGAGTTATACATTTAGCTAGGCAAGGCAAGTTGAAAGAGTAGAGCATCTCTTTGTTAAAAGCCTAGATGTTGGCGTCCTATCGGAATCTGGTCAGTGGTGAGTTAGTAGTAGTACTGCACTGCTGTGCCTGCGCTTTGTCTTGTTTTCCGTGCACGACACTAATGCTTTGATAACGTGGTCCACCAATATTATCTTCAACTTGCTAAGTTTTGCTAAATTTTTAATGCAAATATATCGAAAGCATGCTGTGGACAACCTTCAATATTTAGCCTCTCTCAGGTCCACAATTGTTTAAGTACCAGATAGAGCAGAGCAGATGTTGGAGTATAATATGCTTTTATCATATCAACACACTTTATTTCTTCTTTTCCAAGATGCTATATATTCTTTAGTTTGTATTTGGATAGATGTTCTCGAACAGAGTAGTAAATATAGATTCGCCATCTAACTTCCTTTAAGGTACTATTCAAAATATATGACTTGCATGAGAATAATCTAGGCGAATTGTGTGATTCAATTGATCCAATTCTTATTTGTATTTATACTAAAAAAAAAACATTCAAAATATATACAAATAAATATAATGAATAAGATTACACTTATTATGGATCCTCGATTTGTTTATATATTCCTATCATTATATGAAAATTGTTAAACGTTACTTTAAGAAGATTATCGCTACTTAAAAAGAACTTTAAAGATTTGCTTAGGAATAGTACTCAAGGTCCTTCTAAGTTCCTTTAAAGATTTGCTAGGATTATGAACAAAAAGAGTGCTGCTTTAATTTTTTTTAAAAGTTCCATATCTCATAATTTGTCTGTATCTATGATTTAGTTTTAGCCAAATTATGAAAGAAGATCCTTGTACAAAAAGTAAAGCAACTTCCCTTTTGTTCATAATTTGGCTCCATGTGGTTATACTGGGGAGCCTTGACGGAATAATTAAAATTATTGTCATGTGATCATGAAGTTAGAGGTTTGAGCTGTGGAAATAGCCTCGCAACACAATAAACCTATGTGATCTGACCTCCATAATTTTCTTTTTCTTTTTTTCCATGTGGTTTAATTTACTGAAATCCCTAGCTAGTTAGATCTGAGTCAGAAGTGGAGTATTATTTTCTTTTGTTAAAAGAATATGGACAATGAGAATCTCTGCCTCTTTGTTAGTAAATATGTTATTCAAATTAATATTATACGCCGAAAGTAAGAAAATAAAAGTAAAAAATGAACATTGGTTAAGAAAAATATTGTCAGTAAAATAGGCAAGTACAGAAAAACGCCTCATATCTTCTATTTATGTCGTTATCTTCCTCAAGTTTATGACTCAAAACATAGAAGAGGGCCAATAGCCAAGCAGATGAAAATGGACCTAAGAAATGTCAAGCTCAACATTTCTCTCCTCTTCATCTTCTTCTTCTTCTTGTATTCTTCCTCCACTGTAAGTATAACTAACTAGCTTATACTTACATTTTTTTAATTATTATTCTCACTCGAAACGTTAAGTATTATTGATAAGTTGGTATTTTAGTGAACTTATGCTACTTTTAAGATAAATTCATGTCGCTAGCTGAATAGATGGTTGTAAACTTTTCTAATTTGTCTCTTGTTATTACATTTGAATTTTATTTTTGTAGGTTTATTCATTGGCGCAAACAAATGCACAAATTAGAAAGAATTCATTAATACCTAAAGAAAATCCATTTACAGTAAAAGCTTCGCTTGTTCGATATTGGAACAAACAAATTTCCAATAAACTCCCTAAACCGGATTTCCTTTTTTCAAAAGCCTCGCCGCTCTCCGCCGCGGACGCCGCCTTCTTCA